GTAGTTTCAGCTACTTGGAAGGTTGAGACAGAAGGATTGCCTGAGCCCAGCAGGTTGAGGCTGCGGTGGCTGGGAGCATGCCACTGTCCTCAAGCCTGGATGACAGGGTGAGACATCCACTCAAAAAACAAAACAAAACAACAACAAAAAACTGCTATATTTCATTTCTAACATCTTTCCTTGAATTTTCTATTTTTCAGTATTTTTTCTATTTTTATTGTATTTTATAACTGAATGATCTTTAAGTTTTGTTTGGATTTCTCATTTTTTATTCTATTACTTGGAAATTAAACAACATTATACTAATATTTTGACATGTATATAAATGATTTTTAAATTTTCTAATGTGAGGTCTCTGCCTTTAACCTGGAATTTTTTTATTGATTATATTTATTTGGTTAACTGGTTTTTAAAATTTTTACAACTGTCTTATGCATTTTCAACTTTATAATTCGTTTTCAAGGTCCACTATGAGTGAGAACCTATGATACTCTGTTCTTTGTTTCTGTGATAGATCACTAAGTATGGTAGAACCTAAATCTATCAAATTTGCTGCAAAGTCCATATTTTGTCCTTCTTTATGGCTGCATAATATTCCAATGTGTATATGCTCCACATTTTTTTATTCAGTCCAGCTTCGATGTGCAGCATGGTTGGTTCTATGTTTTTGCTATTGTGAATAGAGCTGTAACAAACATGCGTGTGCAGGCATCTTTTTGGTAGAATGATTTGAGTTCCTCTGGGTATATTCCCAATAGGGGATTTGCTGGGTCATATGGAAGGTCAATTTGTAGTTCTTTCAGAAATCGCTACACTGTCTTCCAAAGAGGTTGCATTAGTTTGCATTTCCACCAGCAGTGTAGAAGCATTCCTTTTTCTCTGCATCCTCACCAGCATCTGTTGTTTGTTTTATTAATGATGGCCATTCTTACTGGGGTTTGGTGGTATCTCAATGTGGTTCTGATTTGCTTTTCTCTGATGATAAGTGAGGCTGAGCACTTTTTCATGTGTCTGATAGCTGCCCATACATATATCTTCTTTTGAGAAGTGTCTATTCATGTCTTTCCCCCACTTTTTATTTTATTTTTTTCCCTTTTAATTTTTTTATTTTAAAGATGTGGGGTATACAGAATTCAGAGTTAGGTATACAAATGTTCATTATGCAGGTACCCTTGTTGATGAGGTGTGCCCCGCCTTCCACAGGCAGATTCGCAGTACTGCCAATCCCGCTTCCCCGTCTCCCTCCCAGCAGTTTCCCATGACCATCAATCCTTTGCTTATCATATTATGAAAATTGTTCAAGGTCCACTTATGAGTGAGAACATGTGATACTCAGTTATTTGTTTCTGTGAAAGACCACTCAGTATTATAGACTCTAAGTCCATCCAGGTGACTGTGAAGTTCATGATTTTGTTCTTCTTTATGGCTGTGTAATATTCTATCATATATATGTACCATATTTTTTTATCCAGTCCTCTTTTGATGTTTTGCCCACTTTTTAATATGGCTGTTTTCTTTTTTTCCTTTTGGTGCGATTGAGTTCCCTGTAGATTCTAGATGTTAGGTCTTTGCCAGATACACAGTTGGCAAATATTTTTTCACATTCTGTGGGCTGTCTCCCCACTCTCTTGTCGGTTTCTTTTGCTTTGCAGAATCTTATCAGTTGATAAAGTCCCACTCGTCTATTTTATCTCTTATGGTATGGACACTTGGGGCTTTGATTAGGAATTGGTTGCCAGTTCCAATTTCCATGAGGGTGTCTCCTGTGTTTTCTAAGATTCTTGTAGTTTGAGGTTTTACGTTTAGATCTTTGATCCATTTACAGTTAATTTTTGTGTATGGTGATATGTTGGGGTTCTGTTTCAATCTACTGCATATGATCAGCCAGTTTTTCCAGCTATAAGAACAATACTATAAGAAAGGGAGTAGTGGGAATCTGCTGGGGAAGGGGGGCACACCTCATCAACAAGGATACCTGCATAATGAACATTTGTATACCTAACCTGAATTGTATCCCACATCTTTAAAATGGAAAAAAAAAAATAATTAAAAATTCCCTCCATTTCTCTTCATTTGTTGTTTATTTTTTAGGAATTTTAGGACTAGTTTTCTCTCTTTTTGAATTTTTCCTTCTACTTGTAAGGTTGTTAAACATTTAAATCTATTATTTTAGTGCTTAATCTTCCAGCATATCAAAAAACAACTCCTGAAGCTAACCAATAACTTTACTATATTGTTTAATAGTACAAAGTCTTTTTTGTTGGCTTTTGTTAGATTTTAGTAGTACAAACTTTTAATGTGCTCAATATAAATACAATCTTTTAACAATCATCAAATTAAATGAATTTAATTATTATTTATATGTTGATGACTCCAAAATGTATATTTTTAGGGTAGCTTCTCCACTTGTAAGTCCAATTAATTGCCTTCTCTATAACTTTATTTAGGTGTTTAGATGTATTTCAAAATTTTCTTATTTAGTCTGTGTTCCTTCTCTTACCCTATACCAAATATGTTCTTCTGGAAATCTACTTTGTTTTATTTAATGGAAACTGTCTTTCCAGTGACTTAAGAAAAAAATAATTGGGGTATTATACACCCAACTTTTTTTTTTTACAGTACATAATCAGTATGTCAAGAAATATTCTACTTCTCTGGTTTACCCTCAAAATACGTGTAGAATTTGCCAAATTTATATTATCAATTGTCATTATTCTGGTTCAAATTATCTACATTTCTCACCTAGAGTGAAGCAATTGACTGTATACTATCAGCTGCAATATAAATAGAAACAAATAAAATATTGCATTATAAATGCAAAGAAGTTTATTTTTCTCCCATGTAACTACCCATGGGAAGAAAGTAAATTCTGCTCATGAAGTTATCAAAAAATTGTCTTATTGCACTTGAATCCTTGTGATGTTGTCTATATAGTTGAGTAAATTTACCTATAAACTAGCCTAAGGTTAGAGAGGAAAAAAAGAGAATGTATCTTACCTAAAAAAAAAAAAAAGTGATGCAGAAATCATACATATTAATTTTGTCACATGCCATTGGGAATAATTTAATATAAAGCTGTCTGCAGATATCAACCTAGCTAGCATGACTTACCTCTAAGAGATTAGTAACTCCCGCCCATCAAATTTCCCTCCTGTCTGCTTCAGTTACAGTATGGCATTGGCCATCAATTCAAGCTACATTTTATTTTTATTTATTTATTTTTCTTGAGCTGGAGTCTCACTCTGTTGCCCAGACTGGAGTGCAGAGGCAGGCACAAGGCTCACCACAGCCTCTCCTCCTGGGCTCAGGTGACGCTTTCGCGTCAAATTTCTGCATACCTGGGGCTATAGGCATGCCTGGCTTTTTTTTTTTTTTTTTTTCATTTGTTAAAGAGATGAGGACTCACTATATTGCCCAGGCTGGTCTCAAGCTGGGCCCAAGCAATCCTCCCACCTCGATCTCTCAAAGTGCTGGGATTTCAGGCATGAGCCACCATGCCCAGCCTAATAATTTTTAATAAAAACGATCTCTTTAGACTCATTATGTAGTTTTAAAATAATAGTTTCAATCAATAACATCACTTGGCAACTCAAATTGTATTATCTATTTATAAATTGTATATTACATGTAATTATTCACTTTGCTTATGATGATTTATGTAAATAAGAAAATATTTGATGGTGAATCTTAATTCAGTATTTTTTATTTATAATTCCTCGATACAATATTTAAAATGTCTCATGAAATTGCTTGCTAAGTTTTGTATACATTTCTTCAGTTTCTTTCTTTTTTTTTTTTTGCTTTTCATCAGCCTTATGTTTGTCACTGTTTATCACTGCATTTAATATAGAATTTTAGTGAATTCTTTAGGTTTATGACTTTCTTAAAATATAATCTAAAATTCTGGCACATCAAATTCACCTAGGGATTTAGTAATCAAGGCAGGATATAGCATATTTTGAATAGGGCAGCAAGGGTCTTTAAACACATTAATATAGAAGATGTATGGTGGGATTCTTATCCAATCCCGGTCATTTAAAGTTGAATGTTTTCAGGCAATGCTTCTTAATTATTAGATGAATGCTTTAGCCTCTAAACCATATACATATATTGAAATACTATACTACTAAGTGATGACTCTGAAAAAGGATTATTCTCCACCCTGGGATGTATATGATCACTGATTTTGATTAGAATTCTTAATAATGAAGGATTTTACCTGGTTTTTCCTTTTCTTCGTCACCATATGTTTTCTGTGTAGAAATTGTTGACTTCACGTTAATTAATACTTAGCACCTGCTCCTTCCATGAAACATCATTTAAAGTAGCACTAAAGTAAGTGCAATATCGGTGGTACGTACATGTGTATTTTGCATCCCTAAGGGGATTGGAATGATTGTGAATTACTCAGGAGATTCTTACTAAGAAAATAATGGCGATGAAATGTGAGAAATTTGACTCAGGAAGAAAGAATGGCCTGAAGTTGATGGGATCCTTCAGCAATATGTGTGAACTAGAAACTATAGTAAACTGAGATGGATATATATTTTGGACTGGAAACTGAAATACCATTGAGAGGTGAATTGGTGATGACATGTTTGAGTTAATTTATAATCTGTCATTTATTTGGAGAGAGAAAATGAGTATTAAATTTATCAGTTGTTGGAGTTGTAGCTAAATTTGTGCTACCACTAATTTATTGTTGTAAAATATTTATATATCACTTTTCTTTCCCTAGCTAAACATTTTCTCTTCTCCCTTCTTCCCTCCCTTCTTCCCTTCCTTTCTTACCTTCTCCCCTCCTTCTTTTCCCTCCTTTCCTCCTTATTTCCTTCCTGTTTCTGTAATTTTTACCTTTATCTTAACATGTAGTCATAATGTGTTCTAGAGGACCTAATTTAAAATTTTTAATAGCTTATAAAGAAATTACTGGTACTTCTTTTTTCCTCAGTAGACATGTATGCCAATTCCCTCCATCCAACTTTCTTCATTTTCTCCAGGAAGACCCACTACATTATGTGAGATTATGGGGAAAGCTGAAATTTGGCTAATTCGAACATATTGGGATTTTGAATTTCCTCGTCCATACTTACCTAATTTTGAATTTGTTGGAGGATTGCACTGCAAACCTGCCCAACCTTTACCAAAGGTAAGTTTATGACAGTGAATAATTTTATACACCTTAGATTAAAATACCAGATTTTCTATAAAGTTTATATTCTCCTTAATAGATAAATGCTGTTGGATGTCTTCAGTTAGCCACTAACTTGATTTTCCTCGGCATAGAGGTCTTCTATTAGTAATATTAAGTCTTTTGTAGTTTACATTGAGTCTTAAGCTGTAGAATAAAATGATTCAAATGGCGTGTTACAAATATCAGTATGTCTATAGTGTGAATACAGGTCTGGAGAAACAGAAAGCCAGACAATGGAAATCACTAAGAAGACTGCCATAGTCTTAAAAAAATCTGATAGGACTATGAACAGGAACATTTACCAAATATTTTGAAGAACAGTTCTTCATGAGAACTATTGAGAAAATTTAACAGAATTTGGTGAGTAATTGGAAGTCAGTGTTGATGGAAGATACAGGTTAAAGTAGAGCTCCTAAATTTTAATCTTGGGAATTTATTGTATAGTGGTGACTTTTACTGTCACAGAAAACAATTGGTGAGATAATTCCTTTGTGTTGACAATGAGTTTAGTTTTTGACCTATTTACTTGAAGGAGTTAGAGGACTTTCAGGTAATTTCTAGAAATAATTTTGGTAGTACAAGGTCTCAATCTCAGCAGAGAGGATTAGAAATAGATTCCCAGACATCAGTATAAAGCAGTTATCATAAAACAGAGATCCCGATGCTATATTGGTTCTTTATGAGCATGATGTCAGGTTATTATGGTGTTAAAAAAATTGTATACCACATTCCAAAGTTTTCAAAGAATAAATGTGGAACAACAGACATGCTAGACAGAAAAAATATTGAGAAGCAAAAGAGAGTAATAGACAAATATGGTAAGAACAATGTATTTAAGTATCAATAGGGAGTGAAGAGAAAGACAATTTCTTATTTGGTTCATAGACAGATATCTGTTTAGAAATTTTCAGGTCAAATGATGCTCTCAGAAGAGTTCTAGATTTCTGGGTAGGGTAAGAGCATACTTAGGTTTAAAATTTTATTTTATTTCAGAATTCTAAAAATTGTATTTCAGAATTTTCTTACAAGTTAAATTATGGCTATAATTGCACTCCATTGAGTTTAATTACAGGATATAATGTACAAATGTCTAAAAAAATGCAGAAAGGGACATAATACATCCATGGCTCATTAGATAAGAAACTGTGCCACAATGTTATATTTATCTTCCCACCCTTAGTTTTCATACTTCTCCATACACACACTTTTACAAAAACTACTCAGATATTTTTCAGAATAAGGAGAAATTATTCCATTCCAAATTAAACTTGTTTATTAATGTGATTATGAATACCAACATTAGATTATGTCTCTAATGAAAAAATGATGCAAGTAACTGGATATACAGACTATAAAAGCAATGAGAGACAGTCAAATAAAAAATTCATGTTAGTATAGTAAGTGTGTAAATTCGTGCGTGTGTTGTTTTACTCAAGCTGTTTGGAAGATTAATCAAAATGGTAAAACAACAATGTCTGAGACTTCAGAGATATTCCCCTGACATTAACTTAGCTAAAAATAGCAGTCTATTTTCACTTAAGATATCATCCGCCCCTAATAATCTCACTAGTTATAAACTGATAAATACAGTGATTTGGGGGTAATCACCAATAGTTGCACAGGAAATGCAGTGCACATGTCTAGAAAGTGAAATTCATATAGATTGTTTTGGGAAGGCTGCAGTCACAGACTTTGCAGTACTTAATTTACAAACTGTAAGTAATTACCCAGGGGATTTTATTTTCAGAAGAATTTATGTTTTATCTCTACTTTAAGATCCAAATTAAGGGCCTGCAGCTAATGGTACATTCATGTGCAAGTTGATACATCAGGAAGGCAGAGAAGCACTGTCTCATAAATGTCATAATTATGCTGGAGATTAACTGTGTTACCTTTTCCTAATATGTGGCTGTATAATATTACATTTCTAATAAATTTCTTCTTAGCCCTACCTATTAAGCAGGGAACACATAAACTTGAGGAAATTATCTTAAATGCTTGTCTAACAGGAAAAGGTAGATAAATTTATCAATAATTTATTGGATATATCTGACAAGTTAATGATTTTTTTTTTTTTTTTTGAGTTGTAGTCTTACTCTGTCACCCAGACTGGAGTGCAGTGGCCGCTCCCGGCCACCGCAGCCTCGACTGCTGGGCTCCGGCGATCCTCCGCCTCAGCCTTCCAAGTAGCTGGAACTACAGGCGCGCGCTACCACGCCTGGCTAATTTTTTTGATTTATTGTAGAGATTAAGTCTCGCCAAGTTGCCCAGGTGGGTCTCGAACCCGCGGGCTCAGGCAATCCACTCACCTCAGCCTCCCAAAGCACGGGATTACAGGCTGAGCCACCGAGCCCGGCTGCTAATGATTTTTAAAGACTAGTTCAGGACCCAATCTTGGACTTCCTTCCAAAAAATATTTTTGTGAGTTTACAAACAACTCAGTTAGTCAAATCAAGCCTTGGGAGTAGCAATTTCAGCTACTGTGAGAAGTGTTGCCCCTTATATTTTGCCTCCTCCTCCTCTTCCTCCTCTTCCTCCTCTGAGTTGCAGTCACACTCTGTCGCCCAGGCTGGAGTGCAGTAGCATGCTCACGGTCACCACAGCCATGGCGATCCTTCCACCTAAGCTTTCCAAGTAGCCAGAACTACAGGAGCATGCCATCACTTCTGGCTAATTTCTTGTAGAGATGAGGGCTCACCAAATTGCCCAGACTGATCTTGAGCCCCTGGGCTCTGGCAATCCTCTTGCCTCCGCCTCCCAAAGTGCTGAGATTTCAGGCCTGTGCCATCACATCCAGTTTATTTTGTTCATTTCTATAACGACTTTGGTTTCATGCTAAAAAATTACTACTATATTTTTAAGCCATAATTTTCAGAAATGTGTTTTTTATTAAAGAGACTAGATGGTTCTACATGTTTTAAGATAGACCGGTCTGGCAATTACTCAGATACTTCTCTTAATTTTACCTACTTAAAAGTGGAAGTAAACATTTTTTATCTTATGATGTTGCTCCTTTGTAACAGAAAGAATGTTTTGTTTGCAGGAAATGGAAGAGTTTGTCCAGAGCTCAGGTGACAATGGTGTTGTGGTGTTTTCTCTGGGATCAATGGTCAAAAACCTTACAGAAGAAAAGGCTAATCTGATTGCCTTAGCCCTTGCCCAGATTCCACAGAAGGTCAGTACAACCTCATCCTGGTAGGCAGCTTTTTACTTATTGGAGAGAGAGTGAGGCTAATAATAGTTTTTTTTAGATGAAAGGTGAAACTCATTATACACTGAATATCATGGCACCAGCTTTAATTAAAAAATTGTAAGACATTAAAATAGTGCATATAAACACATTAAATCATTTGCCTATTGAGCCCTGAATTTACTGTAAAAACACATAATTTTTTGTAGCCATTCATTTTTAATGGAATAGTTATGCAAACATTGAGCCCCCACTGATCTATTACTTGACATATTTTAAAATTGAAATATTTTATTCTGCTCTGAGTACTCCCAAAAGTTTTGAAGTATGTTAGCTCCGTGGTCCAGGAAATGAGAGCATCTATATACAGAGCAGAGAGAAATTATGCTCAAACACATCCTTCAAGTGTTTAGATCTTTTTCTTTATGACTCTATCAAAGTGTGGTTGCTTTAGAAGTAGAAGCCTAGATTCAGTTATTGTTTCTAAATTGAATATTCTTCAGCTGAAAACAATTAAATTTATAATATTATTGTCAAACAATGTACATTTTCTGATTTACGATATTCAATTAACCTTAATTTTTATCACTGCACTTCTATATTTCCACTCTATTTACATTCCTATGAAAATCCTAGGACTCTTTATATTTACATATTGGTTAACATACATAACACTTTTTTTCAACCCCCATATTCTGATTGATTAAACTAGTCCTGTTTATTTTATATTTCTTCACTTACAGTCTCACTTCTAAAAGCTTTTTAAGTGATAAACATTAAATAATAGTACTATACTTAATAGACTAGTAATACAGCCTTTACAAAAGGGTACATCTAAAATGTCCTAATGTGTGTAAACTATTACTTACGTAACCCTTTCTCAACTAACACCTAAGTAGAGTGGCTATGTGTTTTCTAAATAATTCTGCAGCTACAAAATGTCCTCATTGTGTGTTTTTACTTGTAAAATTAAGATATTGACTTCCACAGGTTATATGGAGATACAAGGGAAAAAAGCCAGTCACATTGGGAAATAATACTCGGCTCTATGATTGGATACCCCAGAATGATCTTCTTGGTAAGACTATTGGGGGAAGAAAAACTGTACAGGTGGGCAATAGGCAAGTTAATTAACTGTTTAGCAAAAAGCATGTTCAGTAAATTTTTAAGAAAGTTATTTATATTTTATCTCAAAGATGTGTGATACAATTCAGTATTAGTTATACAAGTGGACATCATACAGGTAAAGTTTCAGTCTTCCTTTGGTCTCCACTTTGTCTGGTTTGAGATCAGGTAGCCTTATTGATGTTGTGTCCCCCACACCCCCCAACCCTGGCAGTATCCTGCTCTTGCCAATTCCTTTCTTATAGCATTATGGTAAATCTTTTTTTTTGAGTTGGAGTCTCACTCTGTCGCCCAGACTGGAGTGCAGTGGCCACTCCCGGCCACCACAGCCTCGACCTGCTGGGCTCCGGCGATCCTTCGGCTTCAGCCTTCCAAGTATCTGCCACTACAGGCGCGCGCTACCCCGCCCGGCTAATTTTTTGATTTATTGTAGAGATGAGGTCTCGCCAAGTTGCCCAGGCAGGTCTTGAAGCCGCGGGCTCAGGCAATCCACTCACCTCAGCCTCCCAAAAGCGTGGGATCATAGGCTGAGCCACCGAGCCCAGTTTATTATGGTAAATCTTAAGGATCTACTAAAGAGTGAGAACATGTGGTACTCTGTTCTTTGTTTCTGTGATAGATCACTGAATATTACAGGCTCTAAATCTATCCAAGTTTCTGAAAAGTCCATATGTTTGTTCTTCTATATGGCTGCATAATATTCCATCTTGCATATATACCACATTTTAAAAAATCCAATCCAGTTTTGATGGCAGCATGGTTGGTTTCATGTTTCTGCTATTGTGAATAGTGCTGCAATAAACACGTGTGCAGGCATCTTTTTTGTAGAATGCTTTCAGCTCCTCCATGTATATTCCCAGTTGGGATATTGCTGGGTCAAATGGAAGGTCAATTTCTAGTTCTTTTAGAAATCACCACACTGTTTTCCATAGAGGCTGAAATAGTATGCATCAACAGTGTAGAAAATTTCTCTTTTCTCCCCATCCTTGTCAGCAACTGTTTGTTTTATTAATGATGGCCATTCTTACCAGGGTTAGGTGGTCTCTCAATGTGGTTTTGATTTGCATTTCTCTGATGATTAGTGAGGCTGAGCACTTTTTCATGTATCTGTTGGCTGCATGTATCTCTTTATTTGAAAAGTGTCTATTCATGTCTTTTGCCACTTTTTAATGGGTTATTTTCTTTCCTTTCAGCACGTTTGAGTCCCTTGCAGATCCTGAATGTTAGGCCTTTGTTAGATATACCATTGGCAAATATTTTTTCTATTCTGTGGGCTGTCTCCCTGCTCTCTTGATGATTTCTTTTTCTTTGCAGAAGCGGGTTCAGTATAATGAGGTACCACTTGCGTAGCTTATCTCTTATGTCATGAACATCTGGGGTTTTGATCAGGAATTGTTGCTTACTCTGATTTCTGTAAGGGTGGCTCCTGCATTTTCCAAGATTCTTATAGGTTGAGGTTTTATGTTTAGGTCTTTGATCCATTTACGGATGATTTTTGTGTATGGTGATAAGTAGGGGTCTTGTTTCAGTCTTCTCCATGTGGTCAGCCAGTTTTCCCAGTACCATTTACTGAATAGGTTCTTCTCTCCCCAGTGGTTATTGCTGGTTTTGTTGAAGATGAGTTGGTTGAGAAATTGCTTATGGAATCTCTATCCTGTTCCATTGGTCTGTGTGCCTGTTCTTGTACCAATACCAGGCTGTTTTGATTACTGTAGCCTTAAAGTAAAGTTTAAAGTCTGGAAGTGTGATAACTTCTGATTTGTTTCTTTTGCTGAGGATTGTTTTGACTATTCGTGGTCGTTTATGTTTCCATATGAATTTCTGTATTGTCATTACCAGATTGGAGAAGAATGATGGTAACTTAATGGGTATTGCATTGAATCTGTAGATTGTCTTTGGTAGGATGGACATCATAACAATGTTGATTCTTTTTTATCCATGAGCATGGAATATTTTTCCATTTGTTTGTGTCTTCTTGGATTTCTTTGAGTAGTGTTTTGTGGTTTTCATTTTAAAGATATTTCACTTCTCTGGTTGGGAAGATGCCAGGGGATTTCTTTTTTTGTGTGTGTGGCTATTGTGAATGGGATTGTGCTTTTTATTTGGTTCTCTGCCTGTTTTTTGTTGGTGTATAAGAGTGCAACCGTCCTTTGCACTTTTATTTTGTACCCGGAGACTTTTCCAAAGCCCTTTTTAGTGCAAAGAAGTTTTTGACAGATTATTTTGGATTTTTGAAGTATAGGATCATATTGTCAGCAAAGAGAGATAACAACTTTCTCTTTTCCTATTTGGATATCTCTGATTTCCTTTTCTTCTCTAGTTGTTCTAGCTAGGACTTCCAACACAATGTTGAACAGGAGGAGTGGAGTGGGCAGCCTTGCTTTATTCCTGTTTTTAAGGGAAATGCTTTCAATTTCTGTCCATTTAGTGATATGCGTAGGTGTTCTAGGGTTTTTAATCAAAAGGGATGCTGAATTTTATCAAAAGCTTTTTCTGCATTGAATGATATAATCACATAATTATTGTTTTTAAATGTTGATGTATTTAATTACATTTATGATCTTGTGGATGTTGAATCAGCCCTGTATCCTGGGGATGAAGCCTACATGGTCATAATAGATGATTTTTGAAATGCATTGTTTGATTCAATTTGTTAGAATCTTGTTGAGAATTTTTGCATCTGTGTTCATTAGGGATTTGTCCTGTAGTTCTCTTTTTTTTTTGAATCTTTACCCAGTTTGGGTTTCAGTGTGATGTTAACTTTGTAAAATGATTTGAGGAGAATTCTATCTTTCTCAATTGCCTGGAATGCTTTCAGTAGAATTGGTATCAGTTTCTCCTTGAATGTTTTATAGAATTCCACTGCAAACTGTCTGGTCCAGTTAGTAGTTTTCTTATGATGGATTCAATTTTCTGGGTTGTTATTGGTCTATTTAGTGTCTCGGTGTCTTCTTGTTTCAACCTTGGGAGGATGTGTGATATCACAAAGTCCTCCATTTCATTTAGGTTTTTGAGCTTGTTTTCATACAGGCATGCAAAGTAATCTCTGATAATCTTTTGCATTTGTTTGGGGTAGTTATGATTTGACCTTTTGCATTTCTGATTGTGTTAATTTGGGCTTTTTCTTGGTCATTCTGGCTAGGGATCCATCAATCTTGTTTATTCTTTCAAAGAACCAGCTTTTTGTTTTGTTGATTTTTTTCTATGATATTTTTGTCTAGTATGGGCTTTTACTTTGTTGATATGGATTCTTCTACTAAAGTTAGGACTTTGATGGTCTTGTCTTTCTAGCTCCTTTAGGTGATTTGTTATGTTTGATTTACAGTTTGATTTACAGATTTTTGTCTAGTATGGGCTTTTACTTTGTTGATATGGATTCTTCTACTAAAGTTAGGACTTTGATGGTCTTGTCTTTCTAGCTCCCTTAGGTGATTTGTTATGTTTGATTTACAGTTGAGATGAGTTTCCTGGGTGCATCAAATTATTGAGTCATTTTTAAATCCAGTGTGCCATTCTGTGTCTTTTCATTGGTGTTTTAGTCCGTTTGTGTTCAGGTTGATTATTAAAATGTGATTATTTATCCCCATCATGAGGTTCTTATAAAATTTTTCTTTGTTAAGCCGGGCTCAGTGGCTCAGCCTGTAATCCCGCACCTTTGGGAGGCTGAGGTGAGTGGATTGCCTGAGCCCGCGGGTTCGAGACCTGCCTGGGCAGCTAGACCTCATCTCTACAATAAATCAAAAAATTAGCTGGGTGTGGTAGCGCTTGTCTGTAGTTCCAGCTACTTGGAAGGCTGAGGCGGAAGGATCGCCGGAGCCCAGCAGGTCGAGGCTGCGGTGGCCGGGAGTGGCCACAGCACTCCAGTCTGGGCAACAGAGTGAGACTCCAACTCAAAAAAAAAAAAAAAAAATTTTTTTTCTTTGTTTGTTTTCTTTTAACTTTTGTGTTGATGTACGTGTGTGTTTTCAAGCTTGCAGTTGCAATGCATTCTCTGTTGTTTCTGTGTTCTCCTATTCTCTTGGGAAGTGTATGGTCATTCTTTTTTTCTTTCTTCTGTGCTTAATATCTTTTTACGTGTCTCCTGTAGAGCTGATCTGGAAACCACATAATCTCTTAGGAATTGTATGTATGGGAAGAATTTAATTCTCCATCACTCAGGACTTTTATAATAATTAAAAATTTTCACATTTGGTGCCCAATTTTAAAGGAGACATAATTAAACAATTGGCCATTAATTTTATAGACTCATTGCTTCCTCTGGTTCATACACACACAAAAAATACCTCCTCAGTAATGTGGTCTCAGAATATGCAGAGGAGGTTAATTCCTGTTTTTCCTGGGATCACAGTTTTCTGAGATAGGAATGTCCCATAAGCTCAGCTTTTGTAGATAATGTAGCCTTGTTTAGCGAGTTAAACTGTATTTATTTTTCTCGTTTGTCTCTGCAATTCTAATATGTTATAATGAAATCCACATCCACTTCTTATTCTATTACCAAATTAGGTCATCCCAAAACCAAAGCTTTTATCACTCATGGTGGAACCAATGGGATCTATGAAGCAATTTATCATGGGGTTCCTATGGTGGGAGTTCCCATGTTTGCAGATCAGCCAGACAACATCGTTCACATGAAGGCCAAAGGAGCAGCTGTGGATGTGAACATGAACACAATGACAAGTGCAGATTTGCTCAGTGCTTTGAGAACAGTCATTTATGAACCTTCGTAAGTACTATGGCTTTTAAAGTCTTACCTAACATTGATTATATTATCCATCATACCAGAAAATGTCCAATGTTTCATCCCTTTGCAATGGGTTTATTTTCAAATAATAACCAAAATACTGACCAATATAAAATTATTCATCTCAGGGGGGGTCGGTGGCTCAACCTGTAATCCCAGCAATTTGGGAGGCCGAGGTGAGTGGACTGCCTGAGCCCGCAGGTTCGAGACCCGCCTGGGCAACTTGGTGAGACCTCATCTCTACAATACATCAAAAAATTAGCCGGGTGTGGTAGCGCACGCCTGTAGTTCCAGCCACTTGGAAGGCTAAGGCAGAAGGATCGCTGGAGCCCAGCAGGTCAAGGCTGCGGTGGCCAGGAGCAGCCATTGCACTCCAGTCTGGGTGACAGAGTGAGACTCCAACTCAAAAAATAAATAAATAAAATAAAATAAAATAAAATAAAATTATTAATCTCATTTGTGAATCTCCTGAAGTGATTTCTTGAAATTGGAAAAACAATAAAAACTAAGACTTCAAATAGTCTTTCAATATTTCTTCACAATAAATAATGCTATGACTGTATAATTTCTCATGTTGATGGGATAATTTGCTTAATTTTATAAATTAAGCATTTAAGTATTATAAACCATTCAATAAGTATAAAATGGAATTCATAATGTAGCTAATATCAATAATTTAGAAATAACTTATTAACAAGGAGTATATACGATTAATTAGTATATGTATACATATAGAGAGAAAACATGTAGTGAATGATTTTATCAATATTGACTGGTACTATGTGTACATTTTAAAATAAAATTTAAATATAATATTATCTGATTTAGCTGAAAGAAAGAAATATAATTATAAACTGTATTGAACTTTAGATATGTATCCTTGTGTTTTCATTTATTTCTCTGAAATATCTCACCAAGGGTAAGAATTAATATGATATATGTACATATAATTTTGTGTCTTTATCTTTGCTAATCTGTTTTAATTTTAACACTGACAGTTGAACTTTGGCTTTGGCAATTATCTCATCCTCCACCTGTGTTACTTATATAGCAAATTTTTCTTATCAATATATATGTCATTTATTTTTCTCACATTTATTAGTCTTATTACTATATTTTAAAGTAATGAATGTTCCCTGTCGAATCAGAGATTATTTATTCCAAATTATGAAATGTTCTTTCAATAAAGACTCTTAGATATTGAATTCTCTGAGATCATGTTTATCAATATTTACTCATTGCTTTAGTATGATGATATTTCTTATATGAAAATAATATGCTTAGCTCTCATTTTTTTCTTTAGACTTGTGAAAATATTACTCATAGTCTTCTAGCTGTAAATGATGCTGTAAGATTTCTAAGTCCTGTCTGTTTCTCTTTTTGTTTTCTTTTCAGCCTGAAAAAATTAATATTTTTAATTCAGAAACTTAATTATAATGCATTCTTACACAGAATTTAATACTTGTTTCTTCAATTATACTATGTTCTTGCAATACTATTAGTCTTGGATTTTTTAAGAAATTGGGTTTTCTTTATAGAAATTAATTTTTGTCTGTTATTTCTTAGAATGTCTTTTCATTCCATTTTTTACTTTGCTTCAGTAACACCAGTTTTCAGTATGCCCTATGTTAAAATAATTTGCCTAGTATTCTTTTTCAATTATTTTCTGACTAACTGTTATAATGAATTTTAACAATTCTCAATTCATTGAGATAGCCTAAAATAGTCCACACATTAGTAAATTCATTATTTTTGCCATGAACATTGCTTGCTGTTTCTAGTTTATTTATTAATTTTTTATATTGTTATTTTTAACTATTTATTTCAATAGCTCACCTGTTTCCTTATCACCTCCTCTTGCTTTACAAGCTGATTGTTATTAGTTTATGTAATCTCTTCTTTTTTGGACTACTAGATTATGCCTGATTGCAATCTTAGTCTTTATTTGTTTATATTTTATGTTTGATTTGTTATCAGACCATGTTCTTCATCATGATCTCAGTATTTGCTCTGAATTTGTATATGTGCCTTAAACTTAAACTTGTTTTTATACTATATCAGATTTAATTATTTTTATGCAGAGCTACAGCTTTAAAATTAGATACAACTTATCATTCACTTTTTCTGAAAGCTGAAATTCACTTTTTCTGAAGTAGAGACGGTAAACTCAGATGGAATTTGGAGCAACATTTTGTTTTTTGTTTCTGGTTTTTTTTTTTTTTTTAAGGGAATAGTCTGCTTAAAACCATCTGTTTAAAGCCCTGGAGCCAGGGTTTTTACACAAAGAGACCAGTGTATCTATTTCCAAAAGAAAAGAAGCACTTAGACTCAAATTAAAGAGTTGGCCTTGGTTGTCCATTTTTGCTTCCTATCTACATTCCAATCGATTGACTTTTATTAGTACAGACATGTTGTATAAGTCATAATTTTCAGTGTAATCATAATTCAGGAGCTGAGTAGAGGGTATCTTCAGCAAGGCTTCATATAATCTTTTGTTGACTTCAATGTCTAGACAATTAGACTATTACCAGGTTGCTAATTGCTGATTATCTGGTTCATTTTATTACATATCAGAGTAAGTTGTGTGAATCTTTTTAACTCTAATGCATAGAAAATCATTGCATTTTATTATTGATTATAAAGCTATTGATGCAAAAAGACAGAGTTATAAATACTCTTAGAAATTTCTAAGTAAATACCTTAAACATATTTCACATTAACCCTAAACCTTACAATATTTCTGAATTTATCCGGGAACACATGAGTGTAGTGTATGTTCCCGGATATATATATATGCAATTTTGCTTCATTCTATTATTCATTAAGGTCATTAATAAAAAAAACAAACATTTGATTAAATAAATCAAAGTAATTTTAACTATTCATGATATTTAACAGTTCAGCCATAAAACATTAATGTACTATAAATCATGAAATAATGAATTTATGAGCATGGTCCTTAATTAACCCTACCTCATTCATCAGTACATATATTTTATTTTTATTTAGATTCCCATGAACAAATGTATTTGTCAAATGTACTTCAAATTTTAAATACCAATAAATAAAAGCTTAAGCAAAAAGTTAATATGGTGAAATAGGTTTTTTTGGACACTTCAGTTTACCTAAAATGAACCACATGAAATTACTGTTTTGACCTTACCTGTGGTTCAATCTAGTTGTACGACAGTATAACTTTATGATAGTATTCTTTTTTACTACACACATAGAAAGAAACCTAAACTACCCCTTGCTGCTGGATCTAGTGTACTGTGTTCTCTTGTAAATGATGAAACATTCCAGGAAGATGTTTCTATTTACCTTAGAAATTCTAAGTCCATGTGAGATATGCCACTTCTTAAATGACCAAAGTATTTTTGTTCAATCTTGACATTGCAGATGGAAACACTGTTTTTTTCATCTTAACCATACAAATTTGTGTAAAGGAGTAATTATCAAAATGCCAAAGTCTTAGAACTGTAAAATGACTCACCAATGCTGAATACCAATTTTCTGTGTCTATCATATAAACTAGCCAGGCATTACAGGCCATGATTATAGATGCTTTAAATAATAATATCCCACTATATTGGTTCGTGTACCATCTTGGTCTTGGAACAGTTTTGAATACTTAGTTCACACAGTATCAAAATTATTTTTGAAAAAATTATGCTATACATTTACAACTGGCATATTCTACCTTTTTCTATGTCTGAATTTGGCCAGAGGTGTTAAAATATATTTCTTCCACACTCTTTCTTTTACAACTCTCAAAGTCCTATGCATTAAAGTTCATGTAAGAAATACACTTTTTCTCAACACATCTATGGTCTTTAACTTGAATAGCAAATAACATGTATCACATACCTGCCTTTAATGTAAGCAAAACCAAAAATTATCTAAATTGTGTTTGTTTCTGCATTCCAGTTATAAAGAGAATGCCATTAGATTATCAAGAATTCACCATGATCAACCTGTAAAGCCCCTGGATCGAGCAGTGTTCTGGATCGAGTTTGTCATGCGCCACAAAGGAGCCAAACACCTTCGGGTTGCAGCCCATGACCTCACCTGGTTCCAGTACCACTCTTTGGATGTGATTGGGTTTCTGCTGGCCTGTGTGGCTACTATGATATTTGTCATCACAAAATGTTGCCTGTTTTCTTGTCAAAAGTTTGGTAAAACCAGAAAGAAGAGAAAGAGAGAATAGGTCAAGAAAAAGAGAAAATTGATTTTTCTAAGTTTGGCAAGGTCCTGAATAAGCAAATACATCTTTATCCTGTTTCCAAATACATCTTTATCCTGTTTTCAAATATTCTATTTTTCTTTCTTAGACTAGAGATAAAGCCTGGAGTTCAACATGATCAATCACTAGTGGGTGTGTTTTATTCTTCCTTTGTCTTTTCCCAGCTGGCTGTACCCTCTTCCTTTCACTTTTCTGGCACAGGGACACTACATTATTTTAAATATATTCTATTCATAGTGCCAATATTTTCTTTATATTTAACCTTAATTGCTGTGTAACAATATGCTGAATCCTGAAGAATACACAAAGGGGGAACAGAATTTGTTAAAAGTAGGGAATGCAAAAGAGTAAAATTCACATTTTCACAAAATATACAAATCAGGGAGCCACCACAGGAAATTATGTGTGGTATGAGAAAAGTAATGATATCCAATTTAATAAAATGTTTAGTTAACAGTACAAATAATAAGCTTAAATGTCATTTATTATACTTTAAATCACTAATGCTAATAATCTATAATCACTATTTAAAATCAAAGGTTTAATCTTCTAGCAAAAATAAAAAATAACCTGGAATTTGATATCATTGTGTTGTTTTCCTGTTTTTATTTCTACAAATTTAAATGTATCAATTAATTTTTATGCTAAGTATATACCAGTCTGACCAAGAATATGGAATAGTAAATATTTACCAATGCAAAGTACTAATTGAAAGCAAATATTCATATTTGAATCAGTTTTTCCTTCATTTAACAAATACATTAAGGATTTAACTTTTTACCCTTAACAAACTCAATGACATTTCTAATTAAAGTCTTAATTTCAGTATTTGATATGTAATTAAAGAGGTAGCTTAGTGGCTCAGCCTGTAATCCCAGTAATTTGGGAGGCCAAGGTGAGTGGATTGCCTGAGTCTGCAGGTTTATGACTGGCCAGGATGGTTCAACATTCGTAAAACCATAAATGTAATTAAATACATCAACAGACAAAACAAAAACCACATGATTATATCATTAGATGCAGAAAAAGCTTTTGATAAAATCCAGCACCACTTCTTGAAAAAAACCCTCGAACATCTAGGCAAATGAGGAACATACCTCAAAATAGTAAAAGCCATCTATGAGAAACCCACAGCCAGCATACTCCTAAATGGACAAAAATTGGAACCATTTCCCCCGAAA